AAAGCTTATTATTATTGTTATTATTATTATTAGTAGTAGTAGTAGTATTAGTATTCTTATTATTCTTCTTATTATTATCATTATTATTATCATTATTATTATGATTATTATTACATTTAGATGTAGGAAAATTATTTCTAGAAAGAAACATTACGTCTCAACTTCAGATTCTGTCACCTCAGTGAGAAGGTGTATGGCCAGCACTGAAACAACTTAAATAAAAATTAAACATGATAAGTCATCGTAACTGGCATTAAATTTATACTGAAAAAAATACAATATTTCTGATATGATTCTATCCTGTCAATTAGTCTGTTTACATTCCTCTCATCTGCCTGATAATTCATTCAGTCCAACTGGTGCAGCCCCACTCTGCCTCATCAGTATTATGGAACTCTGATCACCTGGCTCTGACTCTGGACCCATCCTTGGACCCCTTACACTGATTTTCCCCATTGATTGATCTGCCTTTCTCTGCTCTGCCTCATGTTTCTGCCCACCAAGCTCCTAGTCCTTGTAAATTTGTGACAGCTAAAACCGCCTGTGACATCATCATCCTTTCTGTCATGATTTTAACTATGATCAGACCCAAGAGCAGTAAAAACAATACAGAGAGACCAGGGGAAAGGTTTAACAGGTTTATTTAGGATATTGTGAAGAATCCAGTGTTGCTCTGAACACTGCTCAACCGGAACCGAAAGGTTAGGGGAAGACACTGTGGTTAATTCAGGCCCAGTGGGAAATTTGATTCTCAAACTTGAAGAGAATTTGGTAGCTGACACACATTTCCAGAGAAGTTGTTGACTCTTAGACTCTAGTCTGTGTTCGGTAGTTCAAGTGTTAGTCTGATTCGGTGGAGGGAGGACAGGGTTTACCCAGAATGTAATTGTTTGAAGGAGAATGGAGAAGCTGACTGCCACTCAGATTTCCTGCGGTACTTGAACAGGTCGTAGTGGAGATGAATCCCTTGCTCAGTGTGAAGCTCAAATGATCTCTTGAGGGAAAGTGGATTCAAACCTCCAGTTTAAATCCTCAGCTCAGTTTGAAGCTCAGATGATCCTTCCAGGGAGAGAAGGTTCGAAACATCCAGTTTGCAGGATGACTTCCCAAAACTGGTAAACACTCTGGCGTCGAGGTAGTAGCAGTCAGCAGCTTAAAAGTGCTCAGTTAATGAGCTAACCCTCTGCTGGTGTGTAGGGAGGCGGACCAGAACCAGGCGCCTCCTGGTGGAGAAGGGAGACAAACACAGAAACACACACACACAGACAGGAATCCTGACACTTTCTATCACAGTCTTAGAGGATTCCTCGAACCTACAATCGCCTTCTCATTTCCATCAAAAGGTGTTGTTCCTTATGTCTATTTTACCGTTGACCCAGTTACAGGAGTTTCGGTAAAGATGGTCAGGCTAAGGGTTCCAGGAAT